AAACCCAAACCCATCCCCAACCCCAAACCCAAACCCAACCCCTCATGCTCCAAAGTTCAATAGCTTTAAAGCTGAAAAATACTTATCTATGTTTTTAAATAAACTAGATATTGTATAATAATAAATTATCTCTTTACTTTATTATTGACTATTTTAATTTGAATATCATAACACTACATATGATTTTGACTTTGTTGATCTAAAAATATATATATTATGATTAAAATTATTCCTCATTTAATTTTGTTAAATTATTCTAAAATAGAAGATGTGAATGAAAGGAATGAGAAAAATCAGTTAAGAACTAATTTCACTTTATTTTAGATATTATCATTTATAATTTAGGCTCAAATATCTATAATATTTGAAATAAATGAATATAGTTAAAATAAAAAAAAAATATCAATATTTCTTAAGATTTAGATAGCAATCATATTGAATGTGGATAAACTTCATTAACACTTATATTCTAAAAAATAATCAAGTATTGATAATTTACAAAAATTTAAAGTTTTTAAATAAATTGCTTAAAAATAGAGTTTTTAAAATATAATCTCTGAACATATATTTAATAAACAAAAAATTTTCATTAATCCTTTCTATATGGAGTATTTATATAAAATGGTTATATTAATAAGAATTCAACTTAGTGAGACTTAAAAATTAAAAAATTATTAAAATTTAAAGTATGCCTTAAATTAAATAATATCAAAATATTTATGGTTTATGAGAAACATCACTTTTATATACCAATCTTATAGAAGGAATATTTGTAAATCAGATATTATTAAATTGATTTCGTAGTATTAGATTTTATAAAATTTAAAGTAAAAAATGAACTCATACCATAAGATTTATCTCATATTAATATATATCAATAATTCTTAAATCATTCATAATATAATTTTCAGAAATAATGATTAAGAAATTAGTAATTCTATTGCTAAAACTAAATTAGATTAACTAAATTTATTTGTAAATTTCTATTGTAATTAAGAAATGATTATAACTTATAGTTTATAAAAATGGAATAAATTTAACCTATTTGGTTTGATATCCTCTTTTATATATTATTGATGAATATATATTTTAGTTATTCCATCAGCATCATTTAAGTATTTATTTAAATTTATATATATTATTCGCAAGTATTCTTTTTAAATTAAGTAGAATTAGAATTATATATTAATTCAAGGGAAAAGCAGAGATTTGGTTTAATTATCTATATTGATTTAAAGTTATTTAGATATAATATTTTAAATTAGAATTTAATATTATAATTTTTTAATTTAGATCTCTGTTATTGGTTTGAAGAATCTGTAATCTTGATTGGTAGAGGTAGTGACTTCTTTGATTATTTAAATTTAGGAGTTTATATTTACTTTGATGTATTTAAAAATATCCAGGACCTCATGATGTATAGGGTTAATGAATCCTTTGGATTTCTTTGATTATTTAGAATTATTTGATGATTATGAAAACAGAGTTTTCAATGGTGTTTAAGCAAGTTGTTAAGGTTTCAAAATTGAATGAATTTTGTTATAAACTCTAAACTTAACTATTTTTTAAATGAAAAATAAAAAAATCATATTGTATCAACGTGTAGCCATGATCTTTTCATAATCTGATGTATCAAATTTCTTTAATATCTTTTAGGCAATAAAACGAGGAGATCAATGACCAGTATAACTACAATTTCATTAAAGAAAGAATAAAAGGTCATGACTGAAACTAATAATTGATTTTCAAACCACATATTGGATAAAATTTAAATAACTGCTGATGTAACATTAGATTTTTTCATAACAAAATGCAAAGAATACAACTAAAATATTAAATTCAATTAATACTTCACTCAATGTTAAAGCATATTAATTAAATTTAAGGGCTGTAAAAGCAACTGTTTCTATTTCCAAAAATATTTTCTTAAACATAGCCAAAATCAAAAATATAATTATTACTCCTTAAAACATAGATTTCCAAACCAAAACCAAAAATGTCTTTAGATCTCTAGCTTTTTTTTTAAAGATCTATAAAGTGGAGGGTATTAAAGAGTAATTTAATTTCAACATCTTCATCAAATATTATGGAAAACACTGGAAACAGTCTAAATTTTAATTAAATTTAATACTTATAAATAGTAGAATACCCAAGTAATAATCTACCACTAAAAATACTAATAGACAAAAAGTAGAACACAAACATAAAAACAGCTTGAATTACTGAAATGATTAATCCTCTTAGAATAACAAATTATGATAATAAGGCACTCCTTTTGTATGATAATCTGCCACGCTATAATAATAAAACATTCAAATATTTAAATTTGATAATAGAAAAATTAGAGGCTAAGGCAGCTTATTTCCCTTCTTTACCTTCTATACCAATTCCAACATCTGCAGGTTAAATCATACCTACATCATTACCACCATCTCTAATAAAGATAATAATTATGAAATTATTCCCAATACATGCAACTGCTTTTTTTGTATAAAATTTAATGCATTCTGTAACTTAAGCTTTTTAAGTTGGAGAACAACGACAACAAACAACAGATTAACTCTTAGTAGCAATTGTAAAAATAATTCCTCAAAATATGTAAGTGCAGTATTTAAACTGGTTCCATCAATTACAAGTAAAATGGGTAAAAATGTAAATGCAATTGTATTTTGAGTTTTTTATAAAATTGTTCTATTTGTTAATTGGATTCACTTTCCCATCCAAATTATACATCTCTCTAACTCTTTTATATTTGTATTCCAAACACAAAGTCTTTAAATTAATCAAACTTGTTTTCCTATTCAATCTCAACATTTTCTTTTGTTTCTTCGATTTAGAAGGGTTCATATCTTTATTTTAATAAAGGTTAGCAATTCTCTTTCTAAAATTTGTCATTTAATATCATACCTGTTCACTTTCCATATAAATTTAATAATAGTTTTTTTCTTAATATTTAGATAATTTGGCGATTTTCTTAAAATTTATTAAACCAAAATTGTCAAATTAGAATCTGAAAATTTCTATGATTTTTATATAATCTTAATTTAACTAGCTTGCATAAATGAATAAACCATATATCTAATAAATCCGTATAATTGGCTATAATAAGTAGATTAAAATTAAACTAAATCTCAAAGTGATTGACCTTAATCAATTTATAATCCCAAAAACAATACAAATATGCCATGTTAAATAATCTGATGTAAATAATAACTTTTAATTTAAATACGAAAAAATACAAATGATTTTCTATGTTGTTAGTAATTTACTTAAATCTCTGTTTTTTAAACAATTTGTATTATATTTTTCCAACAGTAATAGATTAGCCACCCTTTTTATAAAAATAGATAGTTTAAAAATAAAAATACATAATTAGGAATTTAAAAACTAATAATTATTGGGAAATATGAATGAATTTTCATAATGATAATTGTTTCAAATTATTAAGAAATATTTTAGATAAGTGGAGTATTGATTAAAATAATTGAGATTGAATAATATTAGTAATATTGGCTTAACTCTTCAACAACAAAATAATAATATTATATATATTTATATAAATTATTGTCTTTATTATATTCTTTATCATATATCTTATTATCTTATTAATTAGGGAGTATTAAAATAAAATTGAAAACAGAACTTAATTTCAATTTTTAATTTTACAGTTAAATTTTTAAATTCTATCATTTTATATTATTTATGCAATTCTATCAATCATCATATTTATTTATTGTTGAATAATGTAATGAATTAAAAAAATTACTAAATGTTAAAAGAAGAAGCAATTAAAAAAGAATGCATAAAAAATGACCATAAAGGCTTCTAAATTGTTGCTGTTGACTTATCAGATGAATTAATTAAAAAAAGTGATCAAGAAAAATATTATTGTGTGAAATGTCTAATAGAAAAGATTGGAAATAAAAAGATTATTCTTTTTGAAGAAGCATTAAAAATGATTGAAATTTTTAACTAAGAGCTAAAAAAATAATAAGCTGATAAACAAAAAGAAACAAGGGAAAGTATTTAAAAACTATAAGATTTAATCAAATTAATAGAAGGAAGTTTGAAAAAATAGTTTGATGATTTATAGAAATAATTAGAGATACAAATAGATTAGGAATAAAATACATTAGATTAAATATCAGAACCTAAAATTTCAAATGATCAAAGTAAAAGTTTGTCAACTTGTTATAAAGAAGATGATAGATTAGCAAGTCCTTCTTCAAATAAAGATTATAAAGAAATTAATGAATCTCTAATTTAAATTAGAAAATTACTTTAATAATTAGAATAAGTGCAAGATGTAGACAAAGAAATATAGAAAATAGAATAGACATGTTCAATTAATTTAGAGGTTGATGAAAAATACAAAGTAAATAAATATATTTAATATTTAGAAAACTTCTGCTTTCAATTTCACATGATATACTCATAAAAAAGAAATAATTATGTTGAACTTAAATCAAGATTAATTTGAGTAAAAAAATCCATTTCTATGTGTTGAATGTGCATAAGATCTTTTAACAAGAGGTGATAAGGCTGTTTCAAATACAATATCATTAATGAAGGCAGAAGAAAAATGGAATGAGTATATTAAAGAGTAAATGGAAAAAAGATCATAAAGATAATCAAGACTTAATTAAGCTATTGCATTTATTAAAAAATTTTAGGAGAAATAAAATTCAGAATTGAATAAAATGATATAATCTCTTAATGAACAATTAAAAAAATAACCTAAAGAATATGAAGAACTTATGAAATTAAAAAATACACATCTATTAACATAAAATAAATAGAACCGTCTTGAAATAATTAAAATGCTTGTTTTGACAAATAATAATAAAAAAATTGATGAAGATTAAGAATTCTTTTAGATTCAAAAGAGAGTACTAGATGAGTTAATTAAAGAAAATCGTTTAGATTAAGATTAAATATAAGGGCTCTAGAACTATGAATAATGAATATTTGTTATTTTAGAAAATTCTTTAATTTCATAATTATTTACAAAAAAAAATATTGTTTTAATTATTTTATTAATTTTATATTTCTTTAAACCTCTTAATTATTAATGAAAAGAATATTTTTCACTTTGTTTAATTAATATATTTAAAAAATAAAAATAAAATTATAATCCATTAAAATTATTGTTGCAATTTATAATTAACTTATTTTTTTATATATTAGATGCAGAATATGTTTATAAATTAGAGAAATTTAAAAATATAGGGAATTAAATAAAATTAATTACTTCCTCAGAATTCAACTCTCTGAAAAAGAGGAATGTAATTAAATTGGACTAGATATATACATGTATAGTAAGTTCGAATGAATTTAATAAGCAGAGTAGATTTTGATTAAACAAATAACATTTATAAAAAAATTTTAACTAAGAATACTGACTGTTAATATTATTTGGCAATGGAGTATCTTCTTACTTTTAGCAATTTATTAAAATATCTAATTTTTGATTTGAAGCAAGCTTTGAATAAAGCAATTATTGTAATAAACTAAAGCATAATTTATTTAAGAATAATCACACTCATTTATCTTATAAAATTAATAAGTATATAAAAATTATTTGGCTATTTTCATTATGATAATTTAGTTATTAAATTATCAAGAGACATTTATTAAAGTTTATATATTTAATGTAAATTATTAATCAATTTGTACATTAAAATAATCAACCTTTTAATTATTCACTTCTTAATTATGAATGATAGGGACTTTGAATAGATGAAAATTATCTAATGATTAATATTAATTTTACAAATATTAAGTTTTCTATTTCTGGAGTAATGACTGTCTTATTTTTTTCATGTTTGTCATTAATTTTATTTTTTTCTAATTTTCACACTATAATTTCCTTTAAAGCCATATTGTAATAGACCAATTTTATGCTATAAATTTAAAAAGTTAATAAATCAATTGTATTAAAACTGTTTTGTACTTTTTCATATATGCTTTGATTATTAATTCAATAAATGGGAGACAGAGTCGTATCAAAAGCAAAGTGATAATTATTTAAAGAAAAACAGATGAGAACTTTTCATTTTCTTAATCAGCAACATATTTAGCAACTACAATAAAAATAGCTATTGAACAAGTTTATCCAGCCTACAAATCTAAAGAATTTAAATTTGATAGAATAAAAGGTTTATTTTTAACTGCTAAAATTTAATAGATTAATAAACACAATCCTATTAGTGCTGCTTTCAAAAATATATTTGCTTCAAAATACGTAGCTATTACAATAATAATAGATTTTAATGATAATTTGATTACTTCCCAATAATAAGCATTATTATCATACTCATTAAATAGATAACATATATGCTTTCTAAACGTTGTTGTATGAAGCTTTTTTCTTTGTGTATATAAAAGAATAAACAAAGAAAATGGAATTGTGAATCCTAAAAGGATAAGTAAGGGAATAATAAACTGATTCATCCATTAATTGTGATTATCAGACCCAAAATATAGAGTTACATCTCCTGATATAAATTCAATATTTGAAATTATTCTTCTAGAAATTACAGAGCATAACCTAAATTAAAATGAACATATTTTTACATTTTTATTAGACCACCATAATTACAAACATATAAATAAAGTAAAGTATTAGTAATTATGCTTTGATTGAACTTCCTATGAAGAATTAAAGATGTAATTTTATATCCTAATAAAACTAAAAATAGTTAAATTAAAATCAAAATAATTATGGCAAATATTCTTGAATAAATTAATTAAATTTATTAAATTTAAGATAAAAAGCAATCCAAATTATTAGAAATTGAATATGATGCATTACTAGTTTAATCAACAATGTTAAATGAAAATGAAAATTTTAGGTTGAAAGTGAAAATAATTGAAAATACCCATAAGTTATTTAAAAACATCTTCATTAAAATACTTGTAAAATCTAATAGTATACTATTTTTAATTACCTTAATCTAATCTAAAAATAATTTTACTATGTCTTTTGGTCAAATTTAATGATGAGAATAATTTATTTGATTTATCAATACTCCTTAAAGTTAAAAGTATAGATAGTAATGCCCTTAAATAATTATGCACATATACCAAATAGATGTTATTATTAAGGCTATAATGTTGTCTTTTAGTTTATTACAAGGAAGGCACTCTAAATTTTGTTAATTTTTAAAGTATTATCCATTTCCCCTTAAATCATAGTTATCACATTCTTCACATAATCCTCCAGTATGTCCTTATGCACATAGTTAATCTCCAACACCAGAACCTCCAATACAAACATTTAGAGTTTTAAAACATTCATCTATATAATCAGATAAAATATGAGGTCTCCAAAATCCTTTTAATAGACTGATACTATTAGAAGTGATTTTAGAGAATTTAGTTTTATCAAAAATTGAACATTTTGTAGCATTATAAGTAACTGAATAAAATCCTTAACTAGATTAACATTCTTAACAACCTTATTCGGAATAAAACTCTCCCAATTAGCACATAAAACTTCTTGCATTTATTAGGTAATGTAATTTATTATTGGATTACTAAGCAAAACAAGTAAATTGAATTGTAAGGTACTTTTCACCTTATAAATATGGATCAAAAATGAATAACAGTTAACTTAAATCAAAATTATCCTTTTGGGTATTATATGATATTGAAATGTTTTCTAAATATTATATACTTATATTGGAATTTAATTGTTGTAAATAGCTATTGATAATGCAAGAAGAATTAACTAACCCTAAAATTAATTCATTTCTACTATTTTTAAAGTATAAACTGAATTCTTTAATATAAAAAAATATCCTATTTTATTGAGGAATTATTAATTTAAATTTATTGATTTGCTAATTGCTTGGTATCATAAGATAATTCTTTTCACATACCTTACCCTATTCAATAGTTTTATATGGTTTTAGCTTTAAAATTCTTTATTAAGCATTAGTATCATCTAAAGATAAAGACAATTACTCAACTGAATTTATACTTAAAGATAAGTGAGTAGGAGATTCAAAAATATTATTTGATTATTACTCTGCCCAATTAAAAAATAGAAAAGACCTAACAAAATTATCATTGTTCAAATTTAAATTTCCATTTAAAAATATCCCTCCTCCTTCTTATGCAGAGTTTGATAATAATATGGTTTTTTTTACTAAAAAAGAACTCTAATCTATAAACAACCCTCCACCTTATTTTTATGCTTAATTTGAAATAATCTTGCATTCCAAGATTGTTAGAGTAACATTTAAAGCAAAAATGGCTATTCCTTTGCCTCCCTTGTTGCTAATAAAATTGGAATTTTTGATTAGAATTCTATTGAAATGAAATTACTCTTATTAAAAACTTACACAACCTAATTCCGTAACTGTGTTTTGATTGCAATTTAAATCTATAAAATTGATCATCTTAAAATTTGAAATTTCAAAATAAAATAATCCTTTTTCACATCCAAAGCATTCATTTTTAAATAAATTTATAGATTAGAAATTGAAGTTACTTTCATTGGAAGTGCTTTAAAAATAGATCAATGATTTACTATCTGATGATTGTTACTTTATTTATTACAAATAAGACTCAATATATTATGTTGGTGAATTTTCAACTTCTTTCTTTTATATATTCTCACAATCCCTAATAAAATAATTGATCATTAAATTATATTTAAACTTGGTAGTTGTTAAATTATATGTATTTACTTTTGAAATAGATAATTATTGTAATTATACAAATAAATTTTGATTTCTTGTTTGAGTAAAAGTAATTAAATTTTAGGTAGAAACCTATTAAATTTCATACATGAAACAATTTGATAGCAATAATTTATGGACATTCTTAAATTTCATGATTGGATATAAATAAACTCCTTAAATATATATGCCTTTTATTTCTACTTAGCAATCACTTAAATAAATAAGAGCATTTTCAGTGCTAGTTATTTTTGATATTTCCTCAACTGTTAATGGTCCTATTTTTTATAAATAATTCAGCAAATCTTCTTCTTATTAAATAATTTATAAATCTTTCAAAATAATTAAATCGTAGTTTGTTTTTTAAGATTTGAATTGTAAATTAAAAATTGAATTGATTAAGGAATAGCAATTTTAAATTAAAATATCTTTTATTAAAATACTCGTTCTAAAAATAGATGGAGCAATAGTAAAAATAGATGTTGAAATTCTGGTTAAAACATTTTAGAATTTAATTCTTTGGATATCTATATTTAATTATCCATTTAAAGATAAAATACTAATGCAACCAGAACCTTCCCTTTATGATTATAAATTATTTTCTATGGTAGTTAATATGATTTCATGTAGAATGCAAAATGAATTTCCTTATAGGGTTATATCAAAAATAAGACTTTTTAATGCGATGATATTGCGAAAGGTACTATTGAAACAACTAAAATTCTGTGTTTCAATTTTTGCCACTCCTCCAACATTTAAAATTTAGATTGTTTACATAATTATCTAATTAATTTAATCTTAATTATAAACAGAATTTAAATTTAGTTTGTAATATTATTACCAAATGATAGAATTTAAAAAATTGTGATTTTGAATATCCATATTTCTAATGACTAATGAATTAGATGTTATAGAAATAAAAGTATGAGAGGAATTAGTAATTGCATTGTTTCTTGATGTTAATTTCAAAATTTCTACTTTACTTGCTTTTGAAACAATACATAATAAACAAGAAGCATACTGTATTTCTTAGGTCTATGAATGAAACATATTCTCTGTAAACTGCAGATTTTCTAAAATTATTAAAATTTTTAATTCTGAAAAAATCATTAATTAAGATTAATATGATGTTTCTTTTTATTAAAGTTATACATTCCCAAAGAATTCTACATTTTTTATTTAAACAGAAGCATTTTATTAATTAAAAATTTGAACATTAGAGATTATTTGTATTAAAGATAAATCTATAGAAGATTACTTTGCTAATTATAAATTTTGTAATTTTATTTCTAAAAAATTGATTATTAGTAAGAGTTAATTATTGTATTAAATTTATTCTTAACATTCTAAAAATATTGGAATTCTGGTTTAATCATCAGATGTTTTGTAGATTAAATTATCTATTTGAATTATATCTGTTTCTTACAGATAAAATATTCTTACATTTTTTGTATTAATTATTTCAAAATTTTTAATTATTAAACTAAAGCATGTTATTTCAAATAAGGCTAGGTTTTTATTAAAAATACTTTAATCGATATTGTTACTTAAATTAAAATCATACAATTTTACTTAACACTTATTTATGTGTTAATTTTACCTAATATCAAATAAAGTAGAATATTGTAAATTATTGTAAAATATTTGTATATTAGTAATTTATACTATGATTTCTGAATAGGGGATTGATTATAGGAAATGTGAATATAAATAAGTATTCTATTCCATAATAATAGATTGCATGTATATCTATTGATCAGAAGAAAATACGACTGATTAATCAAAAATATTTTAGTTTAATTATACTTTGCTAATTATCAAATCCATTGAGAGAGAGTTATAAAAAAAGGTAGAGTTATAAAATTTGCTATTTTAAATAATTAAATTATGAAATGTAAATTTGCTTTTCATTCTTTCATTGGAGTTGATTGCAAAAATAAATGAGTTATAAAATTCACACTTTTAAATAATTAAATTTTCTATTAATATAGTGAAATTATGATCAAAAAACTTGAATAATTTAGAATTTGTAATTATACAATTTGTAAATTAGAGTTCATTTATTTTAAGAAAACCATTAAGTTTCATAGTTTCAAAGTTCAAAATTGATGAATTAGATATATTTGTATCTAAAAATGAAACATTTTAAAAATTTATCTACGAAAATAAAGTTGCTTTAAAAAGTGCTTCCAAATTATTTTATTCTTCATCTTAAATTAAAATATTTATCAATGATAATTCTACTGCTTTTTAATTATTCTAAAAATGTAAATTAGATTTAAATATTTTTAATCTGAAATTTTATAATTCCACCGAATCAAAATTTGAAAAAATTATAGTACCAAAAGAAAATAATAATGAATCTTTAACAGCTACTGCAACCATTTTAATAAATTGTAATGAATAAATCTATTATTTTAATTGATTATTCAGATATAAGCCACGTTATGCTTTGCAAATATCAGTAAAATCAAATATATATTTTAAAATTAATTTATCCTATCCCATCTAATTATAGAAATCAATTTAATTTTTATAAAATGTCGTTGCATCTGCAAGATTTATAAAATTACAATCTTCAATTATTGTTTCGAAGGAAAGAATTGAATTACAGTCATTATCAAAACAATACTTTGCAATCTATAATTATGGATCTATTTAAACATTTGGAATTTATTAAGGCATAATACATTATCTAGTATAAAATAGATTATCATTGATTATAAATTGGGGTTAATTGCTCTAAAATAATTAATGAAATTTTACATTAATTTTATCTTCTGAACTAGGTTAACAAATTTTACAAAATTAAGGACATTCATAACATTTACCTTAATATTGATTTATAATAGGCTATTAAAACTCATTTAATGGACAAATCCTACAAAGAGATTCAAAATTCTACTAATAACACGAAAGACATTCAGAGCTGCAATCTTTTATACATAAATATGAAAGACTACTTATTGTCCATCCTTCTTTACATTCAAGTATCTAAATTTTGTAATATCTATTAAAATTATATGGATAAATGTATTGATTTGGTAAAAATGACATTAAAAAACTTTAGATTAGTTAAATCCAACCATTGTAATAAAATTCTTATGAGAATACAGAAATTTTAAAATTTGATACTTCAAAGGTAGTTTTCTAGCAGCTACCATTCTCAAGTGAGGGAACATATCCGGTGGTGCAAATTATACATTTGAGAATAAATTCAGGAGTTTATATACATTGCATACAATTTTCTACTAATTCTTAACAATTAATGATTTCAGGAGCTATTGAAAAATCTTAAATTGATGCTAATGTGCAAATTTCTTAATTTTCCAAATTAACATATGACCGTAGACAATTTTAAATCGTCATCTTTTTTTAAATGCAAATACTTTAAGAAAAATCAAATGTATAGTCATCATTACATAAAGCACAACCAACATTTATAATTTCATCTGTGTTAAATGATTAAAAATCATGGTATAATGTGCATTTTGATAAATCATTATTTTAATACTCAAAACAATATTTACAATTTTAAATAGGGCATTTTTTACATCTCCCAGCCATATTCATATAATATGGAGGATAACAATATATGTCTTAGCATTTGCCATCTGCTAGTTTAAAATTATCATCACATTCTTTACATAAAAGACCAACATCATTTGATAAACAGTCAAAACAATTATCTGAACATTCGAAACGACCATAAAAAAATTCATTTTAATCTCCAAAAGACCTTAAAAAAATTTCATCTTATTAAATTGTTAACATATCAAATATTTATTCGACATCACAAACATTTTACAGACAAAAATAGAAATCAAATCCATCATAAAAATATTAAAGATCAAAATCTTAAAAATAGTAAGCAGTTTCTCCAATTTTATTTATTGATATATCTTATTAACAAACTAATGAATTAATCCATTTTTATGGATTCATGAGACATTCTATGCATGTCAATCGCTGAGAATTGATTATCGAAGGACTATATAATGATAAATTATTACCATTAAATACATTCATCGCCAATTAAGAAATAACCATATAAACAACTTTTATCTTTAAATATTGAAGCATCTTTTATTAACTAAAAGCCTAAATCAGAATAGGACTCGCATTTTTCACCTGTATCAATTAAACCATAAGGACAAACACACATTTTTTTATCAATTAAATAAATTCTATTTGATTCTTATGAACAAGATAAGCAATTTAATTTAGTTGGACCATTGCATTCAAAACAACTTTAATGGCAATTAAGTTCATTGATTGGTTATTAACAATTAAAAAATAAAAAATTTCTAACTTAAATATTAATAGCATTATTGATATTATTTAAGAGATTTCCATAATTAACTCTGAATTGGTTCGAATGAAATTAAACAACATTAATTAATCTGCTTATAGTATAGATTTCAGATTCATCATAGAAACTGATACTTAACTATAATTCATTTTTCTATAAATTAACAATTAATTTATGCCATAACTAAACTTTATTTAAAACATCAAATTAATCAAATATTAGAAAAGGATTATCAGTAAAATCAATATTAACTAAAGGAAAATTGTAACTATAAGTAGTAATAATAATCCTATGCATCGTAGGGGAAAGTTAATAAATATATTAAAACGGTGATAAATTTTAATTAGATAAAATTGCACTATTAAAATTTGATGAAATTTTAATTATTTGATAAGTAATATCTGATGGCAGTTGTCCAATATTATTAATCCTTAACCAACCCTAAAATTAAAAAGAGTCACAATTAGTATTTTAAGATAAATATGTCAATTTATTAACAGAAGAAAGATCCCAATCTTTTAATTTAAAAGTACTATCTTGAATGCATTAACATTATATGAAACCCTACAAAACTTTAAATGCTATAACTTCAAAATTTTAATAAATAGAGCTTTCTTGGATCAAAATTTTGTTCACTTTTAAAAAGCCTGGAAATGTAGCAAATTTCCTACCTTTTAATATTGAAAATATATATGATTTATTAACAATTAAACTGCTCCCAAATATTAGAGATAAATTTTAGTCTTTGAAAGGAAATTTCAATTCAAAAAATTAATGAAGCAGAGTATCTTCTTAATTTAAGATAATAACTTCAAATTTCCTTTGATTAGGATAGATAATGAATTAACAAAAATGCCAAACATCCTCGTATTTATTATTATCAATTTACAATTCAATTTTATGCTGGTTGTTTTCTTCATCCACAAATTCAATAGTTTTCAGTATTTTCCTCTCTGTATAATCTAAACAATCATAGTATATAAGATTGAGATTTTGGGTTAAAATAGATGTAGTATAATGAATTAAAAAGCAGTCGCTTTCCATCTATCCTACGGGGCCTACTTTTGAAATTATACTTAATGGATTGTATTTGGACCACATCCCATAAGTTAAAAGTTTGTTAACTCCAAAATCTTAAAAACTTAAATCAAAATCATCCCTTTGAATTTAGTATTATTGATTTAAATCAATAATTGAAAAGGTTAAAATCTCTTTCAATTAAGATAAGAAAAAAATGAGAATTGATATATTCATATAATTTTTAATATAAATTCTCCAAATATTTTTAATGATAAAAAAATCAATTAATTTAAAGCTTTATATTTTACTCAATCTCATTTAAGCATTTTTTGAAATATGATTGAGGATAAGAATCTCTATTTATATTAAAGTGATTTAAAAAGCATGATTAATACTTAAATATTTTTTTAATTCTAATCAATTATATAAAGAACTCTAGCCAGATTATAAATTATTACTATAAATTATATTATCACATAATTATAAACTTTACACCATTAATTAAAAGGTTTGCTTTCAATAAATATTACAGAATTATAATATTATCTATTTGTTTATATTGAGTAAATAAAAATGAGAAATCTAATAATCATTTTATTTGTTACTCAGAAGTTTCTATTATCTATTTAGAATGAATGCTTTTGAGATAAATCATTTTAATAATAATAATATTCAAGAATTTATTTTAAACTGTAATAAACTTAAATACCTCAATAATCAAATTTTCTTTGCAAAAGATTTAATTTTAAGAAGACTCTTCTGATAATAAACCCCCTTCTTTTTGCTTTAAAAACCCCCATCCTATGCTGTTGATGTAGATGTTCTTTTTTTTGCATTTTAATCAAAGTTTGCTTATCTCATTTAGATAATTTGCTAAGCTAAAGGAATTCCAAAATTTCTTAATTTCGAAAACCTCAAAATAGCATTTTTTCTTGATTCTCCTCTACTTTTGAAAAGTCGTTTCATAAATGGATTTTCATCGATTTCTGGAAATCTTTATTTGATCATTTCTTTAATTTTATCCAATAAAACTTCATATTATTTAGAATATTCCTATAAGATTTATTTAATAATTTTGCCCAGAAATAGCAAGTTTTATAAGGCCATTAAAAAAAAGAATGGTATCTGAAGTTCTTCTAGATGCACTTATTAGGACATATAAGTTCCTATGGCTAATCCGATAGTAATCATACTGATATTTGCTGAATAATAATCCAATTAATTTAGATTATTTAATTGATAGGGTTGGTAAAGAGCATTTAATTCTTAATAAGTATATGTTATAAAAAGTACAAGCACTCCTTTCACTACAACTGTATCTTCATAATAAACAAGAGAAAGGATAATTAATTCCTTTTAGATAATTTTAATCAATTCCCAAAAATAAGCCTCCTTCTTATATTCATTATATAAATAACCCCAATGAGACATTACTTTTTTCTTTTCAAAATGATTTTTATTAGAGTAAAGACCAAAGAAAAAGAAACAAGGAATTATGATTGCGATTAATATAATAAAAGGTAGACAAAATTCGAACATCCACATTGTATGTGTTGTAGTATCATATCTTTTAGATACATTAGCTTGAATCCATTTGAAACCTGATATATTTCTGTAGGAAAGAAGTTCAATAAATCCATTAATTAAATTTGGTTATACATAGATGTAGATGTAAATTGCAGCTGTTGCGGCGATACTAGGATTAAATTTATCTTTCTTTATTAAAATAGCTAGAAAGTAAAAGCATATAAAAACAACAATATACAATATAGGTAAAATTATCTACCAAATCATTCTAGCATATTCTATTTATAAATCTTTATATTCAACTAAGAAGCAATCAAGAGAATATGATGAAGTTTGAAGTGGATTACCAACCACATTCATGGTATTATTCAATCCTGCAGAAAAATGTAATTAAAATGTAGTAATTGATACAATAATTTGAAAGTAATTAGTTAACATCTTAATCAAAGTTCCAGACTAATTTTTGTTCAAGTAAACTTAATATCTATAAATTTTAAATACTGAAGATTTAGTAAATTCTTCCATCGTTTTCCTATTTCCTTATATTGAAATCAATAGAAATATAAGGGTCAAAATAATTATTCCTAAAATCACAAATACATTTTTCTCTTTTTCAACACAAGGTCCGCATGTGAATTTTTTAACAATAGAATATTATCCATTTCCTCTTATATTATATAGATCACATTATTCACAAAGTGCACCGATATGACCAATATAACAGGAATTATCTCCTTCATTTATTCCACCCAAACAATTTTCTTGTAGATTAAGGCAATAATTAATTGCTTTTGTATCAAAATATGGTCTCCAATACCCTGCTCTCAATATTAATTGATTGTCTTTAATACTTAAAGTTGTCAAATCATCTTTAATGTCACATTTTTGTGAATTTAGTGTTAGGGAGTACAACCCTTGATCCGAGTCACATGTCTCACATGAAAAACTAGTTGTATTTTTTATTTCTCCAAATTGGCACTAGTAAGTTTTTATATTAACCCTAAGTTTATAATTTGAGTGATAATCAATAACTTAATAAGGGTATTATGTATTGTAAATAGGAACCTTAATTGAATTGCAACTAAATTATAACTGAAGAACAATCTCTTTAGGAACTGAATTATCGAAATAAACTATTAAATCATCAAGATTATAACTTTATGTAACTTAATTAAAACTTATTTACTAAATACTAGTATAATTATTTGTAAAGTCTTAATCCTCATTGTTTGATTCATTAAATCTTCTACTCTCTATGATACATTAAGAGTTTTATAGTTATTAAACACTATTTAGATCACCATCCAAAGCTAGAATTCTGAAAATCATATTTGAATTATAATATAGTTTGTTTTTCCAATCAAAAATTTTATAAGATGATATTTCCTGTCCTGTTGGCAAATAAATATGTTTTACTATTTATCCATTTAAATCAACATAAGGGTTTAATTTTATTTCTTGAATTTTTAAAGTCGAATTTTAAATTTTAGTTTTTGCAGATAAAACTTAAGAATCATTTCTTATTTATATTGAGAGTTATTATGGATTTGATGCTACATTATTACCATATATTCTAGCAATATTTTTTATTATTTTAGTCTTATTGTTCAATAAATTCATTGCAACTTAGTCTGAAAAATACAACCCTCCACCAATGGATCCCTTATTGAAGTGAATGACACAATCTTCAATTATTAAATTTTTATTTCCTTTTATATAAATAGATCCACCTTCTTCAGCAGCTTCATTGTATTAAAACAGACTATTTTATAACAGTGTTTGGAGTGAGTTTATTTTTAAACAAGTTCCTTATGTGGCAATATTATGTTAACAATTATAGTACCTTATTTTAAACTCATAAATTAAAGAATAAAGTTCAAATTAATTGAGGAGCCTACGATCTTTATTTGGTAATTTTACAATATTTAGGCATCCTTGTTAACCACAAGAACAATTTCGTACCTCAAGAGATGTAATCAATTATTATTGAATAAAATATTCTGAAGGCTAGAATTATAGATATATTAGTCCATATTCACATATTGAGCAAAATATATTAACAAAAGTGAGAGAGCTAATTTAAATTTTATCTTGGTTAGTAAAATTATTAAATAAAATTAATCCAGAATTTTGATAATCTATTTATTTAATGATTTCTTAAAATACACAAAACGCTTAATTATAATATCCTGATTATTAATTCACATTCAATTAAATAGGAGCCTGTATGAAATCATGAAGACATTAATACATGATATCATTCAATTATGGATTTATATTGATACAGGTTGTATTAGTCTAATTGGTAAAGTTAAATCCAATTTAAATAGATCTGAACACAGAATTCTAGATAATTATCTCTTGGTTTGTAGCTTAATTAATAAAATATTGATTTACTTGTAAATGAAAATACTGATATTAATTTATTACTGATAGACGAATTTTGAATTTATATTTGAGATAGATAAATATATTTGGTTTCTTATAAAATCAAAAATGATTCTAAAATTAAATTATTTGTCTAAATCTCACTCATTTAAATTAAAGATCCAAATTCTAAATACACAAGAGATCTATTATTAATTAACTATTAAATTTCCTATTGACTAGAAAATTCATTAAATTTATTTAAGAATTCTAAATAGCCAATTTAAGTGCTAGAAATCTAAACTTTTTAAACTAATAAAATTTGGGGACTCTCCACAAATTTTGAAAAAGAAACATAGATTGCAGATCCTTATTGAGCAAATATATCCTCTAAATGAAGGTTTATAATTGTTAAATTTGATTAAGATGTAATTGATTTTAAATAGATAAATCCTCCAAATCCCCTACAAAATATTTTATTGCCAATGTTATTATTAAGTTCTATATTAAGTGACGAAGAAGACGATCCATCTATATAAATGGCACCTCCATATTCCAAATCATTTAAGAATTTAGTAGAAATTCCTTCAAAACTATTATTTTTTATCAAAATATCAGTGCTACCATATGAGAAAATAGAGAAACATCCTCCAATCGATCCTGATGAATTAATAAAAGTGTTATTTTAAATTAAAATTTCTTCGGCCTATAATTCTCCAACTCCAGATTTAGAATTTGATTCAAATATTTATTTGATTACATATTCTGATACCGAAGAAGTAAAGCCCCATTATATATGAGGTTATATAATTTCATATCTGAAAATACTATTGTTGTAAAAAAGGGAATTGCTAATTTATAACTTCTAAGTTTTAATATTCATTATACTAGATATGCTGTTTAATACTATATTATTTTAGAAGTTTGAATTCATCAAATATATTTGGCAATAAGGACAATCAATTAATAAAAGTCCTGCAGTTTATGTGAAATCGAATTAAGTATATTAATGGAAAACATTATTTAGGAAAGTTATATTGTTTATCTATATAGTACTTTGCTGATATGATTATATAGATATTAGAGAAGTTTGAAATAGAATTTCAGTCAATAGAATTATATTAGAACTAAACGATATATCTTAGAATATAATAGTTTCACTTTAATTAGTTAACTTTTAATCAGCAGAATCAATAGCTATGATGGGAAAGTTGTAAGATAGTACTTTAGAGAACGTTAAATTCTTCAATTATGTTACTTTAGACGAAAATATCTTGAGTGTTGTTGAATAATATTGAGCTTATACTTATTTCAATTAACAGCTAAGAAATTTATGCAATCCTAAGAATCGATATTTCTCTTGTTTAAAAATGCCGTTTTCAATTTTAAGTTTCTAGCAATCATAAATTGTAATATCATTAAGACCAAAACCACGTTCGATAACTAAATTTGATATTGACACATAATCATATTAAATGGTAATCAATGAGAAATCAACTAACTTTCTATATTCATTTATTGAATCTTTAATATAGTGGTTGTTGATTTAGCTAAAATAATTTAGCGTAATATTCTATGTTTAACTTGAATATTTCTTTAGGTATATAAATTTGATTATGCTATCATAATGATTATCTTCAAAAAGTAGACTTGTAAATTATTAAGTAATATTTTAAGATAAGAAATTATTATGATTCTCAATACCAATAGATTTTGTAAGAAATTAGCATTCTTTAAACTTTACATTATCTAAATAACTATTTCGATTCAATAAAATTAATGTTGTATTAATTAATATGGTTTAAATTATTTCTAAATTAATTATTTCCAAACGAAACATTTTTTCAAAATCAAATAAATATTAAGAATTCGATATGTAACTAGTCAGAATTAAATTTGATAATTTGAGCTTTCCATTTTCAATACTTTATGAACCTTTTATAAATGTTGAATTAGTAAAGTTTGAAATTAAAGTTACAGTATCTATTTCAACATAATCTTATTCACCTAATTGTAAATCCAAAAAGCTCGTTTCAACTTTACATTTTCTTAATGTTATATTACTAAAAATTAGTTTTTTCGGATAGATAGTTTCCTCTATATTAATAAAACTACCCTAGGTAATTATTGAAACATTGTAAATGTACAAATTATTCATCTAAAGAGACGTGACATTTTTAAAATTAAATGAAAAATTAAAATCACGATCATTGATATAGTCATTTTTTAGAAAATTAATATTTGCTAAAAGTATTGTTTATGGAAAAGAGCTTCTAAATATAAACCTTGAGATTGAAATCGATGTTAATGTAATACTTGATAGAGTAATTTTTGAAAAATTGATGAATTCGATATCGGAATGAAGAATGAAAATGGTATCAAATTAAAAGTTAAATTCAATTTCTACATCTCTAATTGAAAAATTTATATAAATACTTTAAAGTAAAAATGTTCTCTTAAAATGTTTGTTTGATTTAGCCACCAGCAAAATTATTGTAACTAATTTCACTTTTACTCGTTAATTTAATTACAATAGTTTTAATTAATTTTGAATTAGCTAATGTGTAAAACTCATCATTTTCAAACTAAAAATATTAAAATATATATACTTCCATAAAACTGCTATATTCAGATTCTAATAAATCAAAAAGTAAAATATTTTCCTTTTGAAATTTAATCATAGATTCTTCATCTGGTTATCCGAAAAAGTCATCATAATACTACTATTTATCACCATAAAGATATAAAGATATAATTAGTTTTTTGTAACATCCATTGCCTTAATCATTTTTTTGACATTCAACAAATAATCCAAAATCTTCATCATAATAGTAGCTTTGATCTTAATAACTTTTTAAGCATTAATAAGTATATTTATTATATTTTGGATTTTTAAATAGAGGATTGATTTATTAGATTTCTTCGTTTGATCTAACCCTACAAAGAGCACAATTTTCAGGACACTCTACACATTTATTATCAATTAATGTCAATCTTCTTCCCCTTTATTCCTAAGGGCATTTATTACAAATATATTTATCATTTGAAAATATGCATTCTAAACAATCATCTTAACAATACTTTAGACATACATTATTATGCAATTTATAACCATCTAAACAAGCAGAACATATTATCTCATAATCATTTGAGTTTTAACTTTGACCATAAACAATATATTAATGAAAACCATTTATTTCAATGTATTTTCTATAAAAGGATCTTACCTATAATTTCCATCGATCTTTTAAGATTGAATGCTATGAATAGCAAGACTTGCATTTTAGTTCTGGTGGGCATGCTAAACATTTACCAGAAGGTATTTATAAGTAGTAACCGTTGATGCAGTCTAAACAAGCAAAAGCATTAAGAATATCAGTTTGCAAGCAAACTTAACAGTAGCGATTATAACTCTAGCATCCTTCAGTAAATTATACTACCTAATTTGTCTATTTAGTAGAACTTAAACATATAATTGATTTTAAAGATTAATCTTCTTTAAGTTATCCTATACCAACCTGACAATCTTCTTCTGTAATATCCTTAACACATTAATTAATTTCAAACACAAACACATATGAAGTTTCACATTTTGCACACAATGTTACTATCTAATCTAAATCGAATTTTGGTTTAAATTTAATATCAAGTGTATTTACAGTCAAATCATCTCGCAAAGCTTAAAAAGCATGAACACAATTCGATATCTAATTTAACAAACATTTTTTCCCATCAAGGGATATGTGATATTTTGAGTCATCTATGCATTTTAAACACCTTAAATACTTTTATTCAAGATAATCATCATAATAACTCTCGCAAATCTCGCAATAATCACCACACATTTTACATTATTCATCTATTAAGCTATAGTATTTTGAACAAGTTTAGCAGAATGGTATAAAGCCAAATTTGTTCTCACATGTAGAGCATCCAATTGGACATTCTATACATGACCTCCAAAAAAGGTACATTCCTGGAAAACAACCCCAACAATTTCCAATATTGTCATATACTGTGCAGTTTTTTTTATATTAGCGACATTAATACTTGTCTGTGTCAATAAAGTAATTTGATTTACATTACATTTAGGCTAAGTTCCCTAAATGGTAGTAGGGAAATGTGAAGCAAAATTATTTTGATGTAGTATTCTTAACACAATAATCCTCTAATTCAGAATGGAAAATCAATTCTCTTTCCAAATTGATGGAGTATAAATCATATTCTAATTTATTTCTAGTGAATAAGTGAAATACTTGATCTTGAGAATCTTTCAAAGTTTTAAAATCTTATTTACAAACTGGTTTCAAGTACCAGGTTTTCTAAAAGAAATAGCACTCTGCGCATAAAATAAACTAATTTGTCATATGTTAAGGACTATTTTTTATAATTAAATAAGTACCACTATTTGCATTCATAATTAGTGCTATCAATAGGAAGTCTGAAATAGCCAAGAGGGCAGATATTCGCATTTTGAGTTGCCACTTCATGAAGTTAAACTGAAGAATAATATGTATCTGTGCAAATTATCTATCCAAAATCAAAATATCCTTAGTTACATTTACACATAGAAACCTCACTCTAAAAATATCTATTAGTATTTTCACCACAACTAAGACAATCGGTATCCTAAGGTCCTTTACATGTTAAACAAGAATAATGGCAATCTAATTATCAATAAAATTATACTAAAAAGTAATACTTTATCTTTATCATAATTATATTCAATTTTAAAATCAAAAACTTGAGCCTATAAAAAATTATGATTAAAATTATCTCCACCAAAAAAAACATTAAATTAGCTATTTATAAATGAACCCCGAAAAATGTCATTTCCTAGTTATTCTCTTATCAACCCCAATTTGTTAAAAAATTGGATTTAAAAAAGCATTTTTTCATCAAAATTACTTCTACCATACTCATATTGGACAAAATGCCATTGCTATAATCCTTCATAATATCTAAAATCCTCTTGATATTGTAATGTTCTTGTGGACTAAACTACCTCATAATTCTCATCTTAAACTCCCTAAAGTGTTAAATCATATTAGGATTAAAATGATTATTAAATAGGCATACTATAAGCATCAGCATGTACGACAATTTTAGTTTTTTAGGGTTGGATTTTTGAAAAAAACACTTGAACACTAAATAAATCATCTCCTAGTTTTTTCTAATCTTCATAATTTATAAAACCGGTCATTCTCATTAATATATATTTGTCTGCTTCGCTATTCTAAAAATTATATTTAACCCAACCTGATAAACAGTAACTTTTTCCATATTAATTAATAACTAGTTCTATGGTTGAATATCCATCAAATGTTAGTAAGTCTGGTATAATTTTGATCTTTTGTTCAGTTTAATATTTCTGAGGAATTTAATTATCTAATTAAATTTATTGAAATGAATTTTCAGAATAACTTAAATAGGGTAAAAATATCAGTTTTGATAGTAATCCTCTAAATGTATTTAAGTTTTAGTCATTTATCTAATATTGTTAAATATCATTACCTATCCTCTGCCTCCCTAAAAAATTTTTAAATTTTTTTAAATTTCAGAGGCAAAAATGTGAGATTATTTACTTTGATTACTGACTTCCACTAAAACAACTTCATTTATTGGTTGTATTAAAATCAAATGAAATATCCATATTCCCTCATATTCTAAAGCATTAAAGTTATAGAAAAAGTTGAAATGGGAATTTTTGTTGAAAAATTTTATCATGTGTTAGACCTATTAATTAGGATAATCTAATATCTTAGAAACTACAAATAGATAGTCATTTGTATCAGAATCTTTTACTAGCAATAACATTTCTCCAGTTTCTTGCTAAGTGTCATCGTATGGAATATCAATATCAAAATTTCTTTTTGGAATTTGTAAAGGAATACTCATACTCCAGAATCCTATACCATAAGTGTCTTTGTAATCCTAATTTATTATATTAATTGATTCCTCTGTCATTAAAAATCCTGATGTTAAAATTGAATCCTCGTAGTTTGAAAAGGAGGTTTAGGCGAATTAAAGCATCTAAAATAAATAAAAGGCATTAAAGAAATTCATAACAATAATGAATTTTGTTTATTTCATTTTAAACTTCACCTCTTGTATTATTTAATATAAATAAATAAGATCTTTAAATTTGAATAATTTTTATATAAAATGATTTTATATATTATAACATTTAATCTTGGTTTTTCAATTAAATTTCTAAATCTTAA